GCTAAAAATTTATAGACTAAAAAGATAGCTATAAAAACTAATTTATAGAGCTGAAAAACACAGCTAAAAGCTAATTTATAGAGCTTAAAAGTTGCTAAAAAAACTAATTCATAGAGCTAAAAAGATATCTAAAAAAATAATTCATAACCCAAAAAGACAGCTAAAAAACTAATTCATACAGCTAAAAAGACAGCTAAAAAACTACAGTAAGACTAGTTGAATTGATTATGCCTATTGGCAGTGAAAGCAGACAGCAGTGTCATCAGGACCACAGCCGTCGTGGTACCAGTTGAGACATTCTGGGCATTGCTGCCAGTCATCAATGGGTGGTTCGTTAAATCTTTTACCACAAATGCAACATGGCGTATCATCACTGTTAGTAACAGAACCTACATATCTTCGTTCTTTTGACCCTTTTCTTATCACGTTAGCATTCGATGCGTTACTTTTGATTGTCCTTTTTGATTTTGTTCTCGCATATTGCTTCCTTTTCCCGGTTTCTTTGTCATCTCCACTTTTCATTCACTTGGATTTGTCTGCGATTACATCGATTTCGTCTTCATCATTTTCCTCATTATTATTTTCAACTACTACTTGCTTGTTCTGTTTTGTCTTCTTTGCATTTGCTTCAATTAACATTGCTTTATAAGGACTAGAAGTTATTACAGTTGCTGCTTCGGTTTTTCGTTTGCGACTGCGTACATTCATTATCCTTGGAATAGGGCTTAGTTCTGATATAATCTGCAATGCTTCGGATAAACCAGGATGATCAGCTGTTTTATCTAGTTGATTTTCATCGGACTCATTGCTATCTCCTGTTGCAATCCTATCAGTCTCCATCACATTAACCGATGCTTCATCATCTACCGCATTGCCGGCTTTTTCATTTGTATTCGTAGGTTCACTTGCTTCGTTTCTAGCTAATAATGCTCTTTCCATCATTTGGATGTGTTTAACAAGATCTTGTTCAATTTCAATAGAAAAAGTATTCACATGATTTCCTAATTTATTGCTCCCAACTTGTCTTACTTTGCCCTGCAAATGCCTTCTCAATGTCTTCCTTGAAACTCCAAAACTGTTTTCAGCTTTACGCAAAGACATACCATTTTTTACTGAATCTAAAGCCCGTTGTAAACCTTCTGCTCCATAACTTCCTTTTTTTGTCTTCCTTTTGTAATTTCTAACCATATCTATAAATAAAATAAAGTTAAAATTTGAACATTCTACTTAAATAATGCAAGGGGTAAAAAGCTCAGGATGGGCCTTTTGCCCCATTAACAAACTGGGCTTTTTGCCCCAAAATGGTCGGTGCAAAAATTGATAAAAACATATTATTCTATGGTACAATGAACGTTATGTAAATAATCAATACATAATTTGTACGCTTACAAATACATAAACTCATTTAAATAATCAACTAAGTTTAACAATAATCTACAAAAAATTTTTAAAACTACGCAAAAAATCAAAATGTCCTATTCTTATTACCTGTCAAGTCTTCAATATTCTGTTAAAAATTATATTTCTACTAAAAGTTCACCAAAATTCGCTCGCAACACTGTTACACATTTATCATTCATACTACAAAACAATAATTATAATATTTTACCTAGGTTCTTTATAACTGCAGGATGGGCCTTTTACCCCACCTGGGCCTCTCGCCCCACCCTACCCTACTCAAATAAAGTTAAGTAGTAATTGTAAATGTTAAGTAGTAGTTGGTAAATTATTTTACCTCCTCATACTTTTTATGTTAATTTTACAGATGGAATAATTTTTTTAAGCTGAAGACGATTTTCTAAAAGGGTATTAGTTAAGGTTTTGCAACATTAAATTGTGGAAAACAGCCACTATAAATTAATTATGTAACAGACCGACCAAAACCCGTAATACGGGTTGCTTTTTGCTAGTATATTTATTCATACTTTTCTTGAGCACTACAACAAACACTTTCCATTTATTGAAAAAGAAATAAAAGTTAAATATTTGAGATGTTCACGGATAACAAGCGGAATAAAAAAATCGTCTAAGAAAAAAACAAAAACTATACGATAAATATTTAAAAAATAGAAACGAAAAAAATCTTACCGTTATATACAATACAAACCTTTTTGAAAAAATTAAAAAGAAATTTAAGAAAATTTATTTTTCTAAATAATTACAAAAGCACAATGGTAGTCAGGGCCGGCGCGAGTAGGTGTCATGTAGGGGGGTGCCATTACAACTTTTCCCGACTTAAAAAAAAAAAAAGGTCCTCGTTTTCCAAAATTTGCCGACTGCCATGACGGTCGTTTACAAGCGCTATGTTTAGGTACGCATGCGTGAGAAAATGCGAAAAATGTTTGAACTTTTAAAATGGTTCTTAACTACAGAGTATATTTTATATGGCAACCGTGTTATTTGTTATTTGACCTCTAAAAACTCACTGTTGTAGCCTTATTTTTATTGTAGATCAGTATATTATTATAAAATTTTCACAAAAATATATATAAAAAAAAGGCTAAAAAATATCTTAGAGTACTTAAACTTTATTTTCAATTAACAACTTTTTAGTGTAACTCATAGATATGTTTATTTATTTGAAATCAATTTTCTTAAAATCTGACTGTAGGATTTCAATAAATTTTTTTTTAAACTTCAGATAAATATGTTCTATATCTATGATATTTTTCTGGTGATTGCTTCAACTTTTTTTCAATATAAAAATTAGTTTTAAGTGTTATGACTATTTACTAATATATATATATATATATATATATATATATATATATATATATATATATATATATATATATATATATATATATATATATATATATATATGTATATATATATATGTATATATATATATATATATATATATATATATATATATATATATATATATATATATATATATATATATATATATATATATATATATATATATATATATATATATATATATATATATATATATATATATATATATATATATATATATATATATATATATATATATATATATATATATATATATATATATATATATATATAGGGGAAGTGGGGGCATAACCGCATATGGAGGCACAACCGTTTTTTAACCTTTCTCTTCAAAAAATGTTATCTAATATGGCAAAAAACATACCACGCGTTAGTAAAACAGTTTCCTTCATTTTGCATATGTCAAAAAGAGTGACTGTTAAGTTTCTGAGAAGTTGTGAATAATAATTTTTATTTTGATAACAATATTATATTTACATCATATTTTTCCTGACCTTCTTTTTGAGAATTAAGCAATATTTAATTTTAGTGTTAAAAATATGTGTTATCAGCATTATTTCATGAAGTGAAAGTCATTTTTGATAATACCATAATCTAATAATTAATCTATGAAACTGAATTCTTTCTAAAAACTCTCTTCTGGGGTAGAACTCTCTTCTGGGGCAGAACTCAAAATGTAAACACAAAGAATGCCTGCACAATATGCAAACATGCAACAAAATTATCAAATATTCTGAGCTGTGAAAGTTGGGGGCAATTTTTACAGCTCAGATTATTTTCAGTTTTGCCCCCTCACAATGGGGGCAAAACTGTTTTTTTCACTAAGTGTAATTTTTGTGTAATAACATTTTCAAAACCTGTTTAATTTTTTTCTTAAATGGATCAATTTAAAGCTTAATGATGTGGTTATTGAAATAAACTGCTAAAAAAATACATTTCATTTTTATTTTCATATAACATTATTCCAAACGTTACAGGGGCGGTTATGCCCCCACTTCCCCTATATATATATATATATATATATATATATATATATATATATATATATATATATATATATATATATATATATATATATATATATATATATATATATATATATATATGTATATATATATATATATATATATATATATATATATATATATATATATATATATATATATATATATATATATATATATATATATATATATATATATATATATATATATATATATATATATATATATATATATATATATATATATATATATATATATATATAGCCTTCAAGATAGCGATATTTGTGGACATGTTATTTTTGTTCCTGTTCTGTTGTTTTTTTTTACTTTGTTTATACTATTTTTATCATACTTATATATATTTTTTAATTTTATTTCTATTTTTATTTATACATATTAAAATTTATTATTTTATTATAAAAATATATTTTTTATATTAATTTTTTTATTTTTATTTATTTATTTTATATTATATTTCATTTTTAACTTTATCTATTTACAAAAACGATTAATATATAATATAAACGATTAATATATATATATATATATATATATATATATATATATATATATATATATATATATATATATATATATATATTTAACTTTATCTATTTACAAAAGCGATTAATATATAATATAAACGATTAATATATATTAATATACTATATATATATATATATATATATATATATATATATATATATTTAACTTTATCTATTTACAAAAGCAATTAATATATAATATAAACGATTAATATATATTAATATACATATATATATATATATATATATATATATATATATATATATATATATATATATATATGTATATAAATATATATAAATATATATACATATATATATATATATATATATATATATATATATATATATATATATATATATATATATATATATATATATATATATATATATGTATGTATGTATATATATAATCAGAAAAATAGTAAATAACAAAATAATTAATGAAATTGCACTTATATAAGGAAATAGTCATAACAGTATATAAGGAAATAGTCATATATATAAATTAGATATATAAGGAAATAGTAATAACAGTAAAAACAAATTTTTATATGAAAAAAAAGTTGAAGCAATGACCAGAAAAATATCATACATATAGAACATATTTATCTGAAGTTTAAAAAAAAAATTATTAAAATCCTACTGTCAGATTTTTAGAAAATTGATTTCAAATAAATAAACAAATCTATGATTTATACTAAAAAAGTATTAAGTAAAAATACAGTTTTAGCGCGCAAAGATTTTTGCTATCTCTATTTATTTATATTTTTGTGAAATTTTTGTATTATTTTATTGATTTACGTTAAAAATAAGGCTATATCATTGCCTTTTCAGAAATTAATTAACAAATAAACTGTTGCCATATAAAATATGGTTAGTGCTATTTAATGTCGTTCATTCTAACATTTCCGATTTTGAAGAAATCGCAGACCTAGAACTGTTTTTTGGAATGTTATACGCATGCGTTACTTTCATGTTATTTCAAACAACATTAAATTTTCAAAACCTCGTGGCGCACGTTAAGGTACTTCTAATTATTTACTATTTTTTATCGTTTTGTAATATTATATGTAATAATTTAAGTGTAATGTTATGTGCACTTGTTATTGGATTATATATATATATATATATATATATATATATATATATATATATATATATATATATATATATATATATATATATATATATATATATATATATATATATATATATATATATATATATATATATATATATATATATATATATATATATGATTTGTTGTATATATATTTATTATATATATTACGCAGTTGTTGCTTTACATATTTCAAACAATATTAAAATTTCAAATTTCAAATTTTTTCAAATTTCAGTTACAAGCATTGGTAAGACTTTTCGTGTTTAGGTATTTTTGAATATTAGATACAATATTAGATAACGTAAAGTTGTTTTTAAAATATTGTTTAAAAGATATCATCACAGAGGTTTCTATAAATCAAAAATATAGGTAGTTTATGTATATAGTTTTGATTAGCATTTAGTTATTGCATTGTTGTATAGTTTTGAATAATTTTTTAAAGTATGAAATATTAGAGATTCTAAATTCTTTTTGACTCCTTAATTGTTCATGTTTTTTGGTTTTGTTTTTGGATAAAATAATTAGAAAATGCCTAAAAATACATGTATTTTTCAATTAAAATGGCTTGTTGACAGAAAAGACGGAAACTGTTATGATTTTCAGTTATTGTACTAAAGATATTAATATTGCTATCATAGAAAAAGCTGCTTTAACTTCGCACATGGAAGGTAAAAAGCACATAGAGAGATCTCCTTCTGCAAACAATATCAAGCCATTAATGCCAACTGCTACTAACACTGTTTTAGTTAATGAGTTTATGTCAAAATGCTCAAATAAAGCAGAACATCAAAAAAAAAAATTATAAAATGCTAATAAATACATATACGCTAGAAGCTGAAGTTTGTTGGCTTCTTAATATTGTTTATTCTAAATATTTAATGAATTCTTCAGCTGATTCTGGTAAATTATTTTGTAAAATGTTTCCAGATAATCATTGCTAAGTTGTTTCAATGTGGACCCACCAATGCCAGTTATGTTGAAACATTCGGATTATCTTACTTTTTAAAAAACGAGTTGCTCACTTTCCTATCTAATACATCTTATTACGCTGTTACAAAAGGAAATCAAGGATTTGTACAATCAAAAGATGATTTACAAGAAAAAAAGATGATTCATGAAAATTATAAATTCACTGCTAAATCTTAAAAGTATATTTTTGTAGTTATAGAGTATATTTTTGAGTTATAGTTATATGAGTTATACATTTTGAGTTAATTATGTAGTTATAGAGCATATTTTTGTAGTTATAGAGTTTTAGTTTTTGTTTTGTTGTTTTGCTAAAACCGTATTTATATTATGAGTATTTGAAATGATTAAGATGTTTTTGAAATTAGTTGCATTAAAAGTTTCCTTTCAAATAAAAAATAGTTCCTTGTTAAATTTACATTAAGGTGCGTATTTTGTGTTATCTTTGGGCTATCTATAAAAAAGTCTATAAAAACTTTTTATATTGTACGTCCTAGAAATAATGAAGCAAATATCCTGGTAAAAGAAAAAAATTGTCCTGGGTAATCCTGGAATTTCAATAGTTTTTTCTGGTGTGAACCCTGTTCAAAACAAAATTCCTTTGGATTAACTAAGGAGGGCCTCTTTTCTAAATGCTTTTCTTTGTTGATCCAGAGATTATAGCAAGAAAATTTATATTTAAAGATATAGCACAGCTAATCTAATATTGAACAGTTCTATAAATTTATATATAAATCAATAAAACTGCATCAGTCTTCCAAAGATTTATTAGTAGTATAAATGTTAGTATATAAAAATAATGATAAGCTACAGTATTGTGCAAATTGATTGCATCAAAAAAAAATTTTTTTTATTTATTTGTTGTTTCATTTTTATTTGTTTGTTAATTAGTCAAAAGTAAATTTTTAAAAAAGGCAGGCGGGTATTTCAGGCACACCCTTTAGTATGTCCGTAAAAAATGCTTATATAAAACAAGTATTGTTGAAAACCCTTACCCATACCCTTACCAAATCTCAACCCTGAAAGTTAGGGTTACGCTCTGGGTTTGGTTTGCGTTCCTTGTATGTTACCGCAGGGCCTCATGTGGTGCCTTACACTACTAATGCAATTATTGATCAATAATACAAAATGCGTTTATTGATTTCACTATCATTATACATTTTCATCATCCAAAAGATAGTATCATATTGCAATATCTGTGACACCAAAAGTATCATTAATATGGGCAATCATAAGGTTGTTACAGGTTGCATAAAATGCTTTAGATATGTTCAGAAACTGGTGGTAAAAGCACCAAGAACAACAGCAAATTATTGCCTAACTTATAGATCTTATTTCTGACTAACTATAATGATATCATTAACACCGAACTAAATAATTCAACAATAAATCATTTAATGTTTTATATAATTAATTTTATTTTCTTGTATTATTTATTTAGAATTATATAGACTATTGTATGAAACGTTTAATGTAAATATTACTCACTATATATTAATATATGGAATAATTCTTTAGAATCCAATAATTAAGCTGAGATGTCGTCAGGTAACATTTCAATAATTACTCTCTTTTGTTACTTATCAAATCATTCATTTCAAGTACATCAATTGTTAAAAGTAATCTAGTTCTAATTTTGTTATAGAAGAGTCAGAGCCAACTCGCTCAAGATCACGTGGATCAAATAAAAGTATAAAATTTCCTATTCACAGTATTTTTTAAGATATTACTTTATGATGTATCATCTTTTTGTAATTACATTTTGTAATTAAAATAATGTTTTTATAACTATTGTTATAACCTTTTAGAATTGAAGAAAAGGGAAGAGGTTTCTTCGTCAGGTAAAAAAAAAACAAATAAATAATTACTCTCTTTTGTTACTTATCAAATCATTCATTGCATGTACATCGATTGTTAAAAGTAATCTAGTTCTAATTTTGTTATAGAAGAGTCGGAGCCGACTCGCTTAAGATCATGTGGATCAAAGAAAAGTATAAAAATTCCTATTCACAGTATTTTTTAAGATATTACTTTATGATGTATCATCTTTTTGTAATTACATTTTGTAATTAAAATAATGTTTTTATAACTATTGTTATAACCTTTTAGAATTGAAGAAAAGGGAAGAGGTTTCGTCGTCATGTAAAAAAAAAAACAAATAAATAATTACTCTCTTTTGTTACTTATCAAATCATTCATTTCAAGTACATCAATTGTTAAAAGTAATCTAGTTCTAATTTTGTTATAGAAGAGTCAGAGCCAACTCGCTCAAGATCACGTGGATCAAATAAAAGTATAAAATTTCCTATTCACAGTATTTTTTAAGATATTACTTTATGATGTATCATCTTTTTGTAATTACATTTTGTAATTAAAATAATGTTTTTATAACTATTGTTATAACCTTTTAGAATTGAAGAAAAGGGAAGAGGTTTCTTCGTCAGGTAAAAAAAAAACAAATAAATAATTACTCTCTTTTGTTACTTATCAAATCATTCATTGCATGTACATCGATTGTTAAAAGTAATCTAGTTCTAATTTTGTTATAGAAGAGTCGGAGCCGACTTGCTTAAGATCATGTGGATCAAAGAAAAGTATAAAAATTCCTATTCACAGTATTTTTTAAGATATTACTTTATGATGTATCATCTTTTTGTAATTACATTTTGTAATTAAAATAATGTTTTTATAACTATTGTTATAACCTTTTAGAATTGAAGAAAAGGGAAGAGGTTTCGTCGTCAGGTAAAAAAAAAAACAAATAAATAATTACTCTCTTTTGTTACTTATCAAATCATTCATTGCATGTACATCGATTGTTAAAAGTAATCTAGTTCTAATTTTGTTATAGAAGAATCGGAGCCGACTCGATCAAGATCTAGTGGATCAAAGAAAAGTATAAAATTTCTTATTTGCAGTATTTTTTAAGATAATACTTTATGATGTATCATCATTTTGTAATTTTCTATTTTATTCCATTTTTAGCTGTAGAAAAAATGCTGCTTCAGTTAAGTGAGTTTTATCAATAATTTTTTTGTTTTTTGAGTCTTATCATTTGTTTTTTTATTTTAGTAAACATGCATGTATCCAAGACTATTGACCATATCGTTTTGATTGCTATATAATTTATCTCATTGTTTAAAAAGTACTATTAACAATCAATAACAATTTCCACTTGAATCAAGTGTCTTTGATATGTCAATCAAATTACTTTGTCTTATGCAATAGGCAACTTAATACATACATATTTTGGTATGTGTTTTGGGCACTGGTTAAATCATTTGATATCATGTCAGTGAATTTACATTTATAATAGAGAAATATTTATAAAAATATAAAAAAAATAGTTTTTTTTTTTTTTTTGTAAAACAAAAGTTTTGCTTATGTTATAATGAATGTTTTCTTTTTGTTGTTTTAGTGGAACTGCAAAAAGATACCTGTACGTTTTTAATGTTATCGTTTATTTGTTGTAGAAACTTAAAGTGATCTTTTATATAACATGTTTACTTCAATTTTAAAAAATTAAATCATTTTTCATTTCATTTACCTCTTTAGTACTACGTGTGAAGCAATTAGAAGAAGATAAAGGTTTTTTAAGTTCTACTTTATACTAGATAGATATTTAAACTATATAAACTATCCTATTATTAAACTGAAATATTTGCATTTACTTTTCAGATACGTTTTCTTCACAAGCCACAAACGGTATTGGTATTATTTTGAGTGTGATACTTTAAAAATCATACATTACATATTCCTTACATATTTTGTTTATTCCAATGTTAGATTTGTCCTACGATGGCTATTGTATTTACCGTCGACGGCATCGTGGGCCCACTTCCTACAGCACCTACAGGAAGTGGGTCAACAATAACGGAGTTGACAACTCCTCCTTTAATTGGAAGGGAAGAATGAGAGGAGGCGGCAGAGGTCGGGGTGGGTGGCATAATCATAAAAATTTTAACTTATTTAAACTTTAAATATATTGTAAATAAATGTTTAGTTTTTCTTGTTGTTTAAAAACGTCAATTTTGTTTTTTCAAAAAAGTGACAACGGCTCTCTAATACACTAAATTGACATTTACTAAATTAACATTAACAAAAGCGGATCTCAACGCTAATAAAACATTTTTTGCATTTGTTAATTAAATTAATCTAATTTAAATGTCATAAGTTAATTAAATTAATCTAATTTAATGTCTTGCTTGCCTTCAAAGTACAAGTCCGATTTGGTATCTCTTTTGACTGGAAGAAAAAGTCTTATATCCTATGTAAATTAACATTTATTCTTTTTAAATTAAAATTAAAACTTTTATATGCTAATACACGTATTTGCATAGTAGCCCTCTAATATTGGCCTATGGAATGCTTATTGATTGACTTACAAAAATCTTTTTTTTGTATTTTTGTGAAAGTTGATTGTTTTGTATAACAATCTACTTTCACGTAGATAGATGAAAATTACGTATATATATTTAGATTACGTAATTTTCACGTAATACTCAAAACAAGCGAAGAACAGGAAAACCATACATTAAAAATGCATAGAGCATAAAAGACCTTTTTGACTCGGTTTATGAAGTTCTTTGAACCAGGGATTATCAAAACACACAATTGTACATACTCATTTATTTACTAAAAAAAAATAATTTATATTGTTCTATAATTAATTAGGAATTTAAAAAACCAATTTGCAAAAAATTGATTTTATTTTGAAAAATGTCGGAATTAATAGGGATGTCAACTAATGATCCTGATGAGAATGATATCTTGACACTACATGGATAATTGGATATTAAAACACCTATATTTTGATCATTTACATTTCAATATTAAAACACCTATATTTTGATCATTTACATTTCAATACACTTATGCTCATCATTCGAATATTTATACTGGCTATATTTATAGAAGCTATATTTGTTGATTTATGTCTATAAGGTTATACTTTAATAAGATTGAGTCATTAAAACATTATTCTAACTTCTATTCAACACAAAAAATGTGTGAAATAGCTATTGTAATGTATATAATACATATAAATGATTTAGGGATACTTTGGAGAATATCTGTATATATAATCATAATGATATATATATATGTGTGTATATGTATATATATACATATACGTATATATATATATATATATATATATATATATATATATATATATATATATATATATATATTATATATATATATATATATATATATATATATATATATATATATATATATATATATATATATATAGCATACACAGGTGTGAGTACATTCATGCTCATATGTGTTTGCATTAATACACATATAATCTTGTTTATCAGTGTGTGTATATGTATTTATTTATGTGCTATAATGTATTTGTATGTTTGTATTTTCTTCAATGTATTTATATATATGCTTTAATATAATACTACTAGAGTCATACATAACATTTAATATACAACTCCAGCTAACCATAACTATTACAATTACTGACTTCTACTGTCACCATACATGCTCTAAAATTTTGACTATTATGTCTAACACTCCTGTCAGGGTTATTATAACAATATCCTTTCCATCTGATATCTACTTAAAAAACGAATAATTCTACTCCAGTTCTCTTTTATACACCATCTGATAACTACTTGAAGAACGAATAACTCTATACCAGATCTGTGACATACATCTGACAAATACTTAAAAAACGATTAATTCTGCTTCACCTCTCTTTCATAAACCATCTGACAACTACTTAAAAAACGAATAATTCTACTCCAGCTCTGTTACATACATCATCTTATAACTACTTAAAAAACGAAAAATTCTAATCATGCATACATCATCAGATGTCTACTTAAAAACAAATAACTCTACTCCAACTCTGCTACATACATCATCTGATAGCTTAAGACACAAGTACCTATGAATATTATTAAGCAAATAACTGGTCATGATTTTCAGAAAACGAATAATTCCACTCCATTTTAAATACTTCTCGTAACATCACAGTCACGTGACTTATGCATTGTGATTCTTTTTACTTATATAAAATACCAAACACTTTTTCAAAAACTCATATTAACCGGTGAAACTACAAAACTCCATATGATTGTTATGTATTAGTGGTAATTTTTATAAAGATTATTAGTTAATAAATTAACATGTTAGTTTTTGTTGTTATATTAATGTAATTATAGTTTAATATTTTAGATCATCTAGTTATAATAGTTTGTTTATTCTCTAGAAACACGTCAAAGGACTACTAAAAATCACGCCTAGCTTACGTTACATCTACTTAAAGGACCTTAAACTATTTTTTGTACTGTTAACTCTTACTATTGAGGCATGCTGCTACAATAGTTACACACGTAAACCACATTATCTATTTACATTACACATACCTAAATGAACTCAAAGCAGTTCACAACTCTCATTGACCCATGCCACACTTTGACAAAACATTGGACACTCAAGTCAAAAAACATGGACACTCAAGTCAAAAAACTACTTTCTCCTGTTTGCAAGTTGTACTGAACCCCGCTAAGTGTCCTCTGGTCCCAGTGTCAAATCGGGAGTCTGTGGTTATCGTCCTGACTGGATACTCTGAGAATAGTCCTTTTGGGATAACACAATGGGATACCTTAAAAAGACACCCTCGTGTAGACCTAGAGTGGAACTTCTTTTGGGATACCAGTCTCGGATGAAAGCTGGAGGTCTTCATGTGTTCATACTGCACCATAAGGCACGAATCCATACTGTACTTGAGACGTTCATGACACTTATATCTATAATGTATGTTTATCATCCTAATAATACAAACCAAAGGGTGACTACTTATAAAACGAATAATTTTACTCCATTACCAATTCTATCTATACATCACATTTACGCTGGACTAACAACAATTTAGTAGCACAACAACTAATGACTTTTCTTGACTATTGTTTATTATTCTTATTTATTTTTTACTACATTTTACTTATATCAGTTTTTAAAAATTTTTCAACTTTGAAGCTCTTTGTTTTCTACTGGACATCTGTCCTTTTGTACTTTTATCTCACTCTGCTAAACTCTTTTTAACTTATAATTCATCCCTAAGGCGTTCACTGCTCGGTGCAGCTTTACTAAAATGCATTGCATTTACAAAAACTTGATTTTTTTTTTAAAATTTCCGAATTAATAGGGATGTCCACCTTAAGATGTCAAGATTTTTTTGAATTTGACAAGGAATTTTTCAACTACGTTTTACGAACTGAAATTATTACTAAAGTTAAATGAGAAAAAAATCAACCGACAGTAAAGGCCGTTTTCCACAAGACGAAATATTCGCGCGAAGCGAATTTTTTCGCTATGACGAAAACGCTGTTTTAATTTCCACTTACTTTCTTTCGCGCTACTTTTTTTTCGTTGTCAACAATAATAATGACAGCAATAAGTTTACGCTGTAGGTGTAAGTAAAGGCAGTTATTACTTTTTTAGCATACTTTCTATTTTGAAGCATGTGAAAATTTCATTCCGTGCATTAATATTAACATTTCTGCCTTTTTATGTAAGATGTGATATTATTTTGTAATATAATCATTTAATATAAGGTTTTTTTTACAAGAAAGTATAAGAAAATAAATGCTAAACTCTGATATGAACATTTCTATTAAAAACTGTTACTGCAAGAACGAACAACAGGTTTAACTCTATGTAGAATTTTTCACAAAAAGGTTTATCTTTGTGTGGCCACTTAAAGATAAACATTCTTATGAAGTGTAACTTTCGTAATTAACAGTGTGAAAATTTATATAAGTAAATTCTCGATTTAGTTTTATATATAAATCTGGTCATTTTTTTATGTAAGTCTTGCCCCTTTTTTTGATAAATTTACTCATGCTTACCAATTTTCAGAGTAAGTTTATATAAAATTAATAAGAACGCCAGGTTAAGAATTTTGTTACTTTAAAAACATGTTTTCGCTTTTTTTGTGTTGTTGACATCACGTGATAAATATTCAAAACTTCATTGGTTTTCACTTATGGCGATTCGCAAAAAGTCGAAATGAATCCGACTTTTTTTTTCGCTGCAGCGAAACGCTGTAGCAAAAAAAATCAGTATTATCGCCAAAAAAGTTTAATCTGCGCATGCTTAACGACGAAAAAATAACGACGAAAAAAAAAACGACGAAAACGGCCTTAACCCAGCTATAAGTCTAATCTCGGTTTAATTAGTTTTTAATAAAAAAAACATATAAAAGTAGTTGGTTAATTTTGCTAAATAGAAATATCAACAAAATTTTGGGCACATTAAGTTCTCTTCAAATTTACCGCTTGGTATAATTTATTAACTGCTGATTTAAACAATAACAAGCGAAAAAAAAAAATAGGGAGCTTATGATGACGATAACGATAAAAAAAACAGGCTCTATAAAATTTCGAAAGGGTTAGTGTTTGTAGGTATGCCCTACTCGTTGTAATTAAAGGAAATCATAAACAAGTGCCACGAATTTAAAATATCAATATTTAAAAACAAATTTTCTCTTAAAAAATATTAGTTATTGGAAATGTAACTTCATTGGGAATGTAAAAAATATTAGTTATTGGGAATGTAACTTCAAAAGCAAATATTCTAAAATTTAAGATTTTACGGTAAAATTGAAAAAAGTTTCGGGCCTTTGCTGAAAACGGACAATAAAAACAATTTCTTAATCTTAAATAGATAAACAAAAACAGATTTAATGATAAAATTTTAATTGCAACATAAATTAACATTGTAATAGAAGCGCCTCAAGATTTAACTAGGTATATTGATTTAAAAGAATCCTTTTAAAAAATATGAAATTAGGGATAGTTTTTTAGTAAGCATATATTGATATAGATTTTTTAAAAAAAATATAAAAAATACAAAGACAATGTTTAAAATGTATTTAAAAAATGTTTGTTTTATAAATATTACAGTATCTTTAGATGTGCGTTATAACTTCATTCGTGTTTGTTACACTTTATTCATTAAACATGAAAATGTTGTTTGTTTACATTGCGTTTTCGTTATGTTAAGAGATTTAGGCGTAAAACTTGAGACATTAAGCGTTATCATAGACAAATTCCTAAAAATAAAACTGCTACAATTACCAGTGATATAAAAAATATATGTGGCATAATCACCATTTGTTGCAATTGATTATGTAAAAATTTTTGAAATATTTAAAGTAATATTGAACAATATAAAAGGTTAATGTTATAATGATTAATACTTACAATGTATTAGTGACGACAATTGCCAGTATAGATTTGATAACCATCTATCCGGTATTACATAACTTCACCAAGCTATATGCATTTCCAATAACAACAACTGGATTGCTGGTATCATTACCAAGCTATATGCATTTCCAATAACAACAACTGGATTGCTGGTATCATTACCAAGCTATATGCATTTCCAGTAACAACAACTGGATTGCTGGTATCATTACCAAGCTATTTGCATTTCCAGTAACATTACAACTCGATTGCTGGTATCATTTACCAAGCTATATGCATTTCCAGTATATTTGATTGTTGTTATCGTTACCAAAGTATTCATTACAATTTTACATTTTTCATTACAACTCAATGAAGAAAATTATGCTAGTAATGTTGCTACTGGGTATCTTTTTGCATATAGTTTATTAACGGTAACAAAAATGAAATGATACTGGGATCGCAATCCCAGTATCATTTCATTTTTGTTACCGTTAATAAACTATATGCAAAAAGATACCCAGTAGCAACATTACTAGCATAATTTTCTTCATTGAGTTGTAATGAAAAATAAACATTTTATAATAAAAACATATATCATTTACATTTACCAAATAATCATTTACAATATTAATATTACACGCAAGATTGCAAATAAACTTACCATCACACAAACAAATTGATCATATTTTTAAAAGTTGTTACCTTTTCACAGTTAAATATCACAGGTTACCTTTCCAATATTTCAAAACCCAACTTTTAGTGTAACGGTTGAAGGACCGATTTTAGTTGTCTTTTTATTTTTGAAAATTTTTTATCCATTCATAACTGACTATACAAGAAAAAATTTTTTTTTTTGCAAACCCTTAACTGGAAACAGAAAAACTTCAGCTTTCTGTTATTTGCATCTGGCAGTCATGACAGTTCCAGATAACATCTTTTTTCTCATATGCACACAGTGGAATACTTTCGCATTCACGATGAAACCATTTGTTACAAGTAAAACATTGTGCCATTTGTCTGAACAAAAAATTTAAAATTTAAAATGAATTTGGTGTTATAAATAATATATACGCATACCAAAGTTAAGTGGTAATTTAATATCGACATTCATCTTCACTATGATAAATAGCCTTTGTAAAAACTAAAAATTTCTACATACCCCTTCAGTATGTGTAATATCGTCTTATGCACAAACATAATATTGTATATGATAACATACCTATTAAAAATATGCTCATCTTTTTGGGTCCAAAACATGCGACAGGAACAATGTAGAGGAATATGAAAACTCTTTGCTGTGCATCTTCTAAACATAGTTGGGGTAATTGCTTTTGGAAAAACATCTAACTGGTTATTTAGTATACAGTTTAAAAGATGATTCCTCATTTCATTTTGCTCAAACATATGAGTACTTGGTGGAATACCATTTGTTTCTAGTACCTGGCGTGCCCAAGCAATAGCATAAAGCCCACAATCTACCCCATTTGTTTGCTGTTGTACAGGTAAAACTTTAATAACAATTTTTTTTTGTGAACAGTGTAAGATGGAGCATATTTGTCTTTTAGTCTCAATACTTATTAAACCATGAAAAAGACTGTCGAAAATATAGATTTCTCCAGGCTTGCAATCATAAGTTGTAATGCAAACCCAATGTATATTTCCATCATGAAGAATTTGTACAAAAGGTTTGCTAGGACAAGGATCAAAAGACATAACCTTTCCTTTAATGGGATCTTGAAGACCAACATCAATGTTAAATTGAATTGACATCATTCGTTGACAAAAGTGTATGACATTATCGTTTAGCATTTCTCCTTTAACTATGTCATTTTTTTCAACATTTTGGATCAAGGAGCATTTAAGATTCTGAATGCAGTGCACAGTGCTTTGAAGTTTGTCATTATCATTAACTATGTTGACTTTGTGGAATTCTTGGCAATTATCAAATGCTTCTCCTGTCACTTCAATTGATTCCATGGAAACTGTAAATGTTTCACAATTATCATCAATAACATCAGTAAAAATTTCTGAACTACAACATTCATTATTTACATTTGGTGTCACATTGATATTTAAAGCTGCCTTAGTGATGTCGTGTTTTATACCAACTCTTTTGGTCAACTTCCTTTTGCGTCTTACGGGAAGATTAACAAGACTTGGTAAATTAGATTTAATCCAAGTTTCAGGTTTTAGGTCCGGACACAAAATAACACCTTGCTCTCTTTTAAGAGTTTCTCCAAAACTTGTTTTAAGTTTATGAAGTTCTTGAAACAAATTGTTTATTGCTGGTTGAGAGTCACTCAAATGTGTCATGTTTATTATTGCATTTAAAAGTTCGCGACATGCAGCAGGAGTGTGACTTACTTGTGATTGACCATGTTCTTTACTTTGATCAAAGTACAAGACTTTACTATTTATGGAATGAACACTTTTGACTGCCTGAAGATTATATTTAGACACTTCCCAAGGTTTGGCATCATCAAGAGGCTTCTCATTGATATTTTCAGATATATCTTCAGTAGGCAAACGTGTAAAATGAAACGTTGTTGAATGATTATTTTCATCTGATAAGGGATCAATGATAAAATATGGTGAACTTCCATAAGATGGATCAAAATCAGACCAGGAAAGATTGAACTTGAGAAAAATGGAAAAAAAATGTTTGCATGGATAAGCACTAAATAGCCAAGAAGAGCAAGTACAACTTGGCAAATGATCAGCATCACCAAGATAGCATTGGTAAGTTTCTCTGCTATTAGACTGAAATGAGGCTACATTGTACAATCTGTTTGTTACTGCACTAATTCTGATTGAGTCCACACCATTTACTTTATCTATCATATTCATGCAATGTTTTACTAAAGGTTTTGGACGATTTGTCAAATAGGTTGGAATGTTTTCTTTATATTTTCTATAGGATGAATGTGTTCTTCTATTTTTATCTGCATAGCTAAATAACAAAAGTGATTGTTTAATTTATGTTCAACTAATTTACATTCAACAACTAAAAATTATTTGCTGTTTACCAAAACAGTTTTATACTTTATACTTAAATATATAAAATCATATATTATATGTATGTAAACTCTCACTTTCTTTCTCGCTCTCTATATATTTACAATTTATTGTATAATATTATTTGCACAAGTAAAATCGTAGAAAATAACCATTTTAAGGTTATCTTAGAGTCTTTGCTGTCATTCTACCTAAGGACTCAGGGTTCAAAAAATGATTGCTCCTCTTACCTAAAAGTATTAATTTTATTTTCTACTATAAATACATAAACTTTATTTCTTTTCAGACCTACGGGATATCAAGAACTAGAAAGAAGCTCTGGTACTCCGCATCCCTGATATCCCTGATCTCTCTCTCTCTCTCTCTCTCTCTCTCTCTCTCTCTATATATATATATATATATATATATATATATATATATATATATATATATATATATATATATATATATATATATATATATATATATATATATATATATATATATATATATATATATATATATGTATATATATATATATATATATATATATATATATATATATATATATATATATATATATATATATATATATATATATATATATATTATATATATATATATATATATATATATATATATATATATATATATATATATATATATATATATATATATATATATATATATATATATATATATATATATATATATATATATATATATATATATATATATATATATATATATATATATATATATATATATATATATATTCATGTGTGTGTGTTTATAGATCAGGGATGCAAAGTAGGTGGTTTTAACTTGAAAATAACTAACTTGTCGTAATTGTGAGGAAGGAATTCCTCAATACAAATACAAAGCATAGCTGTGAGAGATGATGTTTTCCGTTTTTCCAAAAAACTATATTTAAAAGATTGGTTTTGTCTTTCAGTGCCATTATTAGTATTGATACTCCGCAATAAGCGTTGTCGCCTGTAGGCAAACACCCATCTCTAAAAAAGAAGAATTGTTACAAAAGAAAGGGAAAACTTGTGTTTTCAGAGAGAATAAGTGTTGATAATTAAATCTATAAAATTGTTTTCGTTTAAATTAGTATATATAGTATAGTATAGTATATATAGTATATATCTTTAAAATTTAAAATTTTTTATATAATCATTTTTATAAATGAAATAGGCATTAATGGCAATAATAATATAAAAATTTGAAAATTACATTAGTTTACGCTTAATAAAATAAAAATCCTAAGCCAATTAAAAATTTAAAATATTGGAACAAAAAAGCCAAACAAAGTCATGTTGGCAATCAGCAGATTATTTTTTGCACCGGTCAGATTTATGGATTTGGTTATGAAGAGGCC